CCTGGCTCCTGACAGGACCCTGATCGATTTTCAGATTGCATTATAATTGCATTATGCCAAAATCCTGATACCGAACTAAGTACAAGAATTCACCTCTGTCTTCTCAAGAATTTTTCTTATTACAGCATTCATACTTGAAGTCAGCTGTGGAGAAAAAAAGATCTTTTAGGATGGGTTGTAATAATATCTGAGCCTGAATAGTGCATGCTCAGCTGAAAGATTTTTTTTCTTCCTCCCAAGGGTCTTGGTTGATCACGAATAAGTATCAAAAGCAGCAAACAAAAAACAAACCATGGAGTGCAGTGGTAGGGTGCATGCTTAGCATGTGTGAAATCCTGGGTTCAACCCCCAGCACCTCCTCCACGAAGAAATAAACCTAATTATCTCTCTCCACCCCCCAAAGAAAAAAAAATCACAAGAAAAATTTCAGAAAGAACTTTAGATTCCCCCTAACTTTATCCAGCCTCTTGCTCTCTCTTAGCCAGGAGAAGATATTTTTGTTGTTTACAGAATGTGCCATAATAATAAGACAATGAAGTTCTATGGACAAACTTCTGGAGGATCACAGGGAAGCATAAACAGAGGCTCTCTCACACAGGAAAGAGAAAATAAGAAATAACAGTAATATTAGCTAATGTTTATTACTGTGTACCAAGTACTATGCTAACGGCTTTACAGGGATTAGCTCATTAATTCCTCACAATCACTTTATGTGGTAGGTACCATTCTTATACCCTTTGCACAGATGAGGAAACTGAGGCACAGGATAGTCAAATAACTACCCTCGAGCAGATGGCAGAGCTGGGCAATCTGATTCCAGAGCCTGTTTTCTGAAGTCCTAGACAAGAACTTTTGCTAATCCAACCACTATGTTGCACAGTATTTTAAAATTTCCAGTGGAATTTAAGCAATGAATCCAATGGCTCAAACACAGTTCTGCCTCTTTTGTAATTATACAATGAAAAAGGACAAGGGCCTTCCCAATGCACACAAACATTTACAACCACACACTAAACATACACAGAGGAGAAAGAAGACAGAGATCTAAAATGCTGTAGTTTACATCCACAACTACACACTAACAACTATTCATCCCTTCAACAAACAGGTAGCCCTCTCCCAGATCCTGGAATTTGCAGGGAGAACAGGCAAACATAATTCTTCATCCTACAAAGCTTGTAGTCTACTGGAGACGATTTTTCAACAGTCCACAAATCACTAATCGTGTATTTCCTGTGGTGAGATGCCACATAAGGTAGACACGCTCAGAGCCGTGAGACTGCAGCATGGGTTCCCTGACCTCTGTTTCCCAGGCAGAGGAAGTGGGCACGTGGGAAGGCTCGGAGTCAGGAATAAACAGAGCAAACCTAAGAAATTATCATGACTTTCTGCAGTTTGCCTGTTTAATTCAAAAAGCCAGTTTTCACTGGAAAGGAAAGGACTGGGTTTCAGTATGTTTGCATTTCACTGTTTATTTATGTGGCAGGATGCCTGGGTTGAATTTAAGTGTGTCTCGGAGATGTCTGGACCTGTGGTGGGGCAGGTAATGGGGAGCCCGAAGGAGACCTGGGGGGCTTCTAGAAAAGGAATTCCACCTGTGTCCTCTGCAATGATCAGACATATCAGGGTAAGTCTAGGGGGATGTGGTGGCCACAGGGGTCCATTTACAGTGGGGCTGAGGACCTTCCAGGGACAAACTTATCCAAGTAAAAGAAGAAACTAGATCCAAGGAGCTCACCCAGTGGCAAGCTTTGCCTAGGGTTGGGGAGGAAATAAACATTCTGATGCAGGGTGATGGTTTCCCTAATCAGTCCCCTGGCCCCTGGATGCAAATCTGTTTCCTAAGTAGAGAAGGGTGCCAGTTTTCTCACACAGCACATCTAACCATGGGGAAATGAGGCATCTTGCCCCACCACAGAGCAGAGGGTGCCCTGCCTCTCAGAGGGGTGGTGGTTGCCTGCTAAGAGCTGCTGGACTTGGCCAGGCATAGAGATTTCAGAGCCCAGTGGAGAGATACAATTGCAGCTGGGGAGGGTGGGGATGGGAGGGAGGTGGGGTGAGAGTGACCACATAACAGAGATGCTTGATGGAGGCTGTGAGACTCCCTTTGGCAATTTCCAGAATTGGAGGCAAGGGACTTGGCAGGAAGTCAGAGGTCCTGCATCAGAGGGAGCTACAAACCAGCAAACAATTTGCCTCTACAGGCTGGAGGGTCCTAGGGAAATTCGTTTTGTGTCAACGAACAAATGATTTGACGTGGCCACCTAAGTCAATTTGGAAGCTCAGTAGTTTTATTTCTGTTGTATTGATTTCATGATTCTAAAACCAAGTTGAAATCAAAACTGCTTCTAATTTGGAAATAAAGTGCTCATTTTGGGAAAATGATCTGGTATTTTACAGTAACTCACGTATGGCTGTGAGCTGTGCAGGATGCAGGAATAGCAAACACTGCTTGCCTTCTCCTTGTAGAGATATTGGCTGCCTTGAGAAACACCCTCTGGAGTTTTCATAAATAAAACATAGCAGAGAAGCACCCGGGGTCAGTTTTTCCCTCTAGTATGAAAGGAATTAGTGTAGTCGATAGAAAAGGAAACTGTGTATAAAACCCCACACTGTAGCTCAGGGTTTTAGCTCTGGGGGGGACAAAAACATCAAAGATGGCAGAATCCAGTAGTGAGATCGCAGGGGGTGTGTCAGGAGGGGGCTGTCCCACGTGCTTAACCCTTAGGCTGCAACGTTATTTTCCGAGAGTGTATGTATGTAATCTTTTCTGTATAAATACGTATTCTATAATGCATGTATAAATAAGGTGGAATGCCAGTGGTTATAGCCTTCAACTAGTATATAGATGAAGAACAAAGAAAAGTGGAAGAAAATGTAAAAGGTTACAGGGTGAAATGGGATAGTGAATTTGATCTGATCTGATCTGATCCAGAGCTTCTCCTTTTGCCCGGAGTCCTTCATGGTGATGCAAGGTTGCAGGTGTCATGGACTGGGCGATTCTGTAGGGGTGTGTGTGTCAAGTTTGGTCGGGTTGAGGGGATTACTCAGTGCAGCCCGTCCCCTTCCCCGACTGTGGAAATCCCTGTGGTCACCTTGCTTCTCAGTGGCCCTCCCTGTTCAGTCTCAGGGCAGGTGTTTGCAGTAACTGAGAGCCTGCCCCAAACCTGCCAGGGCTGGAGATTAATCAGCTACAGACCAACCAGTGGGGAGCCCTCTGAATTATTTTAACAGTCCTGACCATTGATTTAGGATGCTCACTGTGGCTCCAATTAATTTTATTCATTTTGAAGAAAAACAAAAACAGCCAATAAGTAGTTATGTTGCTGAAATAGTGTATTCAGATGTCATTCTTATTTTTTCATCCCTAGGAAGCCCACTACGGCCTATTTCTTGGTCCTGAAGTTACATCTGCATAGCATTTTTGTTATCTTGACAGTGATATAAAATGCTTGTATGTTTTCATGCATGCTGTGTTCGTTTCTGAAGCGTGCATTGTTTGAGACTATGTTTTTCTTGGACTGTCTGCCCCTTGAGGACAGCTCTGGGGAGCCCTCGGGTCTGGACAACACGTACATTTTAAAGTGTTACACCCGTGAAACACCATTGGAGGGCTAGACACGTGTGGGGTTTTGATCAGCAGTATTTGGGGCTGTATCATTCTCGGGGTCTGCTCAAGAACTGGGGAGTTTCAGTGACTCACCTACGGTCCGTGAGCACATTGGTGTCAAGTGTGGAGTGGTCTTTCTTCAATTTTTAAGGAATGCCCCTTTAGAACTGCCCAGAACAAGAGAGAAAAGAAACTGGAAACAGTCTGGTTTTAAATCAAAAGTTATGAGTTTATTTTTAATTTTACTATACCAGAAAAAAATATTTATTTTAATGTCGTGAAATAGCACTTGAAAGTAACAATTCTGACGCTGCTGTGATTTGCTCTGTGAGGCTCATCTGGGCGGGCTTCTCTCTGAACACAGGCGCCCCGGCCCTAAGAGGCCGAATCTTCCAGTGGCTGTCAAGTTGGCCTTGCCTGAACACGCCCTGACGGGCAGACCTGCCTGAATCCGACAGGCTGCGGCTGCACTCTGAGGCTCTTGCTGGTACATTCTAGACTTCTGTCCACTGGGAGGAAAATGTCGCAAGGGCCGCCAAGAAATGGGAAAATAACAGTGTTTAAATAACCAACGTGAGCCAGGACCTCTCGATCCTGCCTAAGTGTGATACAAATGTTGCCTGACCCTGATTTACAGGACCAGTTTCTTTAACTAGTTGCTTTAGGAGACATTTACTACAATGTAGGTTCGGGTTTGAATTTCCAGTGATGTATGTCTCAGAGTTGCCTACCCAGCATAAAATTACAATGCCATTAAGACCCCCCCAAACCTCCTCCCCAGGGGTGTGCTCCTGCTGTCTCTCTTTAGGGCTAGAACATCTTGTTTCCCTTTTTTAGAAAAATGTAATTCAGGAGGAAGGGAAACCTGGAGATTATTTCCCCCCTTCTGTGAGCCCTGAATTTTCAGTTTGAGAATGAAGCTCCTAACTTTGGTGATTCAACAGGCTTGTGACTATTCTTTGATGCTCTGCACAGGTGTCCCTAACTGGTCTCTTCACTTCTGGGTTCTGCCTTGTGGCTTGAGGACGTTTATAATTGGCAGGTCACAGCTGGCCTTGAAAGCACATGCTGTCCCTGCACTGACACTCACTTTGCTTAAGTCTTGGGTACCAGCATAGAGGCGGTCGTTCACTGAAGATTGGGACCTAACGTGTCACAGTGATGGTTGGCACAAAATTTGAGTATCATTGCTTTACTAGCGCTCACTCTAATGTGTACACACTACAGGCCAAACCCTGTGATGCATTCTTAGCAAAATGTCTTCTTGATGGCAATGGGTCTGAGGCACAAAGAATCAAGTCTTGTATGTAAATAGAAAAGGGACAGAACAACTTAAAAAAGCTACAAGAGACAATGACTCACAGCATGAAAACAGGCTCTCCTACCGATCCCGAATTGATAGCAAAATATTTATTATTGAAAACAAAGATTGGCGAACTGGATTTTCATCATAAAACTCTCACACAACTGTACTTCTCAGGATGGAAACTTTTTCAGGGAAAGAAGCATCTAAAAGAGACAGACGTGGACCATGCACAGACAACTCAAGGACTGAACTCTGGGAGGTCTGTTTGACCTTCCCAATTTTCCCAACAGCCCTCTTGAGTCAGCACACAGCCAATCCAATACCTGGGTTCAAGAGTCAGCAATTAACCAGCCTGGGAGGAAGCCCTCAGAATGTGCTGAGGCTGACTTAGTGTGGGACGTGTAGCGTTCTCTGAGGAGAGGCTGTTCTATCACAATGAGGAAGAGAGAGCAACCTGGGTGTGTCTCTCCCAGGTAACCCAGCAGCCTGGGAAGCAGGCCAGATTTCTGGAACATTCTACTCCAGTGTAGATGACGTCAGGTGCTTTGTTATTTTTATGTGACAGGTTTTATCTTTATTGTTAAAGATACTACATCTGACCTTAAAAAAAAAATTCTGTGGGTCTCTTTCTTAGAAGTAAGGTTCTTCCATTCAGGTCTACAAAAACCCCACTCAGGTGAGGTTTCTGACTCAGTCAGAGCTACATTAATACCGAGGGGAAGGGAAAGGGCATAAGTCTGTCTTTCCACTTCAGCGTATTATTCAGATGTATTATTACCTCTGCCCCTTGTTTTTGTAGTGGGGTGTGATAAGAAGGATGAGCATTACCTGGAATGATCGTCTCAAGCCGTGATGCTTACTGGGTACTTTGGACCTGACAATGAATACGAATATAGTAGTGGCTTTTCTCACGAGCAAAACTAGACTGTCCAGATAAAAGCCCCTGCCCTATAAATAGAGCATCTCTCACTAGAATGATTTCCATGGCAAACTTGTGGACTTGGGTTGATACTTGGGCCCAGCATATCAAATTACATGTATTTATGTATGAAATGAAGATTTGGTTAAAAAATTTTTTTTAAATCCAGGAATGTTTTTACCACCCTGGTATTGGAATGTAGTGGAATATTTTCAATAGAAAGATAATCTGTTGTAGCATAGTGGGGCAGCTATAAAAACTTGCCTGCCCAGGTTTTTCTGGAATATTAATTGATAGCAGGATTATCTGTGTGGCAGTCAGTTCTCTGATAGGATTCAGATTTGCCAGGGGCTGGTGGTCCAGCCTTGTATCTTGATACAATTAAGCAGCTAAGCTGAGATATGAAGAACACCGTACTGAGCCTGTTAACACCAGAATTTCAGGTTTTTTTTTTAAAGGTGTGTTTTTCCCCCCTCCCATGACACACATCAGAAATGCCTTTAGATATATTCAGCTAATTTAAAAACTATTTATTAGACATTCAGCCTGTAAACAAAGATTCTAAATTACCTCACAAGTGAACACAAGTACAAACCTGTATCAAGACGAAAGTGCTTTGGAAGCATCACTTAGTGTCTGCTAAGGTCTGTGTGCATTTCCTTATTCTAACCTGCATTAAAGGATCACCGATAAACCAATGGACTAAATAACTAAATCAACCAGATAAGCTCTAACTGGTCTTTCAAGTTAAACTCAAGTCAGCTGTTATTTGGCCTTTTCCGCATTTTACTTATTTTGCTCATTTTCTGTCATAAGGAAAAAAGCTTATTGCACAATACCATGTCTTTTCAAAGCTCAAAATAACATCATTTGCATTCTAAGGATTAGTTGTTATAGCAGGACCTTCCTTTCCAGCTCATGCCAGTTTTTGCCCTAATGATACATTCCTCCATCAATGGTTCCCATCTATGAACCAACGTCAAGACATCAGACTGTTCACACTGATCTAGCACAGATGTAACAGCTCCTCCCACCCCTGCTGCGTACCTTCCCCCCCTGGCCCCACCCATCTATTAGTCATGACTTGGTTTGCATGGATTCTTTGTTCATTGTTCAGACCATTCACACCGAATGGAATAAAACTTTATTCTTTTAAATTCCACACATAAACGAGATGCTGAGAAAGCCCTTGTCATCTCTGACAGAAGCAGAGCAGCTCTGTTTCATGAGTGACAGCACAATTAAAGCTAAAATAATATAAAAATAATTTGAAAAAAATCCCTTTTCTGTACACTCTCAAGTAAAGCAAGAAAGATAAACAACAGCTTCTTTTTCTGCTAGCCAGAAAATATGTTTCTATTCATTTGGGCTTTGAAGTTCAGTGTGCCCCACATGGGTGTGCATATGTGTGGTTCTGTGTGTATAATCTATGCAGGGTAGCCCCTAACCTTTTCATCTAGTGTCTAATCATTAAGCTACTTAACCAATTAGAATACTATTATATCACATTGAACAATTTTACATAATTGCGTCTTTGAAATACTAGGAACGTTTTACACATTTATTTGGCTTGTAAAGGACTGAAATATTACAGATATTATATTATCTAGCTTTTTTTTTTTAAAGAATATGGCTCTTAATAAATTGATTTTCTGAGTTCCAGAGCTAAAGTCCCTTTTAAAAAATTTCTGAAGCTGACTTGAAGCCGGAAGAATGTCTTCTGATTTGGCCAAAAATACGAGTATTTTATGTCATTGAAAATTTGAAGCATAAGTCTGTAAGGGGCCCTTTGTTGTCAACTGTTCCAGCCAAACTTGCCATGAAGTGTGTTTGTCAAAGTATCTCTACTTGGCCAGCAGAGGGCACTTTAAACACCTCTGCACTGCTCTGGGAGCAAATGCAGATGATGCCGAAACACAGTGTTCGCCCAGGATCAGGAAGAGCCCTGCAGAATTCTTTGAAATTCACAAAAATATATAAAATATGGACTATACCACAGGGTTCCATTTGGAAAGTGATGAGTACACGTGAAGTCAAATAGGGAGGGCTGGACAGACTTAGTGTCTGTCTACTACACGGCCCTGCAGCTCTTCTGCACTGCACTGCACTGCCCACTTACCTTCCCACTGTTTTTTTCCCCCTTCCTAGCTCAAGGATGGTCCTGGGCTGCACCTTTTTACAGGTAGTACAAAGTCCACTTTTCAAAATCGTTCAGCTGAGTTTTCTTTTTCCTATTCTGCATTTACTCTTCTGTTTAAGAAGCCCGAGGCGACGGAACCAAGGCTAATGCATCCTGTCTTATTTAAGAGTCGAAATTACAGTTAAACTGTCAGAAATTGCTCTGAGGTGGAGCTGCCCTTTCAGGAGTGGGGCTGTATGGTTTCCTTCTTCCCAGGAAGGACCTGGGAAAAACAGCATGCCCACTTGGTTTTGGCAAACTCGCTAGCCTGAGGCTGTGCTCTGAAGGGAAACAAGTCTTTCTCTCAGTGGACATCGAATTGTTCACATCCATTTTCTCAGGAGGTGATTAAGACATCTTTTCTCACGGGGGCTACAATTCCTAACCTTTCTTAAAAATGCTTTAAATTCTGCAAAAGCATTACTGTTCTAGATCTACACCCTGTGTCACTTCCATTTTGATCTCTTTTATTGACTCCATTTTAGTGTCAAAAAAGATTTAGAAAGGAGTGTGTGTGTGTGTGTGTGTGCGCGCTCACACAGTTTTTAAAGTAAACGCCTTTGATCCTTAGAGAAATATAACACTTAGTAAATACTTTTTCTTTTCATAGTGTTAAGAGCTTTTGTTTGTCTTCTGTTTCTCTCTGCCTCTTGCCCACTTTCTTTCTCACTTGTCCTAGAGTTGACAGATAAAGAGGGAATGCGGGTCTTCCAGCAGCAGTCCTTTGAGATGGAGGTGACTCAGTGAGTCCTCACCCAAAAAGGATCATAAACTTACTGGGCAAAGTCAACCTAATTATCCCTAAGCTGCCTTGGGTTTTGTGTTTGCTCATATGTCTTGTTTTAGCTGCACCATATGTGATTCCTTGTGCCATTTTCTTTTGTCTGTTATTTTTCTTGATGACCCTGAGCTGTGGCTTCCTCCTCAGTTCCAACACTAGTCAGCCTTCGTTGCTTTCCTCATCTTGCCGATGTAGGCCTCAAAGAAGAAGTGGCAGAAGAGCACAAGGTAGCTGAGGTACATGAGTGAGGACCAGAAGACGTTCTGAAAGTGAGAGTGACACTGGTCCGGCTGCATCCAGTGAAAGACCAGGTAGTTAACGACACAGCCCATCAGCATCTGAGTGATCTGGGACAAGGTGATGAACATGGCAAACATCCGGGAGACCCGGAAACCCGCTGCTCGCAAGGCATAGTAAGAGTACATCACGGAGTGCACGCCATAGTTCATCGTCATGAACCAGCCACCCCCGGCAACCATGTCCTTGTAGGAGTACCAGGAGTACAGGAGCACAGTGATGTGGTGGTACCAGTGCAGGAAGATCAGCTTCTGCTTCCTCAGAATGATGAATATTGTATCTCCTGAAAGATGAAGGAGGGAAAGAACGTCCGTGAGCCTCTCGACCAGAACATCACCATCGCCATTTATATTTCCGCAAGAAGGTGGATTTCTTGAACTAGTACTTGAGAGTGAGAGGGACCGGGTTAGGAGCCTGGACTGCGACCCTGGGTGAGTTACTAATCCTCATCATTTCCAGTTTCCTCATCTGTAACGTGGGGATAAGGAGAGAAGCGTGGCATTGTCTGGGGATTAAACAGGATACTCAGCATGCCTTCCTGGCACTTGGTGAGCACTCAGTAAATGCTACTTTCAGAAAACTGTTTTGCACACAACTCATATTTTTGAGTTGGAAGGGATATTAGTAATCATGTGGCCCATTTCCAACTGAACCGTGCATTTTAGGAAATATCACTTGGAAGAGGCAAGTGACTTGTCTCAGATCATTCAGCAATCAAGAGAAACGAATAGGAATCCAAGTGTACAGTGCAATGCTCGTAGGCCTCTCTGGAGGAGTAAAACCATTTTTCTTTGGTACATGACAAAGGTAACCCCTAAAAAACATCTTTGTAAGCTCCCTGTAAAGTGTGAAGCCTTGACATATGGCCATGAGAAAAGTAAAACTTAAAAGGCAAAGGCAGAAAAAGAACAAAAAGCTACCTCCCATCATAGTTCCTGAAGAGGGTAGTAGGAATATTTGAGGCCTCTGAATCAAGTGATAAAAAAATGGAGGATGACACATGCTTTTATGCAATTAACTTTGAAAAAGTTTCCCAGGATCTATCAGAAAGTTTACCAACATTATCCCCTTGAAGAAAAAGACCACTGTTTCTAAGGCAGAGAATTTCTTTTTAGTAGCAAGAATTGTGCTCATGTAAGATGCTGGGTCCTGGAAGGAACTTTAAGGTTCTGATGGATGTGGTTGGACTAGACAGGTGGTACCCTATTCCAGTCAGCAGGAGCTACTCGCTTATTTCCCTACGGAATCGTTAAACTTCTTATTTGCTTAGAGCAGAAAAGGAAGGTTGCCACTTGCTGCATTTCTGAACCTATTACAAAATTTTCCTTCAAGTCCTTTTCTCTCTTGTGAGATGCCGACATGTTAAGCCTGTAAAGGTCAGACAGACTGATGATGGATGGTGATGGTAACATTCACGTGTATCCTTGGGGGCACGACTGGTGTCAGGAGCCCTGGGGTCTACTTATGAGGGTTAAACTGTGCTCTTTTTGTGGGCCTGTCAAAGATCCACTATTTCTGTGTAGTTACTACTCTGTGGCTCCCTTCCCTCTGGACTACAACGTAGACACAGTTAATTCTAGGCTTCCTTTGTTCACAGTGGAAGGAAGGTAGACCAAGGAATTGCACATGAAAAACAAACTTAGTCATTTATAATCAAGATTTTCTTTATGAATCTCTAAGTATTAACTAAAACATAAGTCCTGCACAACATTCAAACATATTGTAATAAGTTATGGGCCATCAAGTAATGAGCATTTCATCCTTTCAAATTCTTTCAATTTAATTTGAACTCTATCATCACTTTTATATTATAACTTTATTGTCTAGAGAACGATTTCAGGGTAGGAAGAGAGAATGGGGACAAAACATGGACTGTATTCAAACTGGTGGGCTAACATCGAGTGGAACGAGGAAGCTATAAATCTGGAATTGAACATTGCTTTGTGTGTCTCCTGTCAGAGTGGAGGCCTGATCTGAGACACACTAGGTGTTTCCATGTACCTTGGGGAGGAGGGGTTGAAGGACATGTCCTGAGATCTTCAAAACAGAATTTATTTGAAAACACTTAAGAACTGTTCTCAGAACAGATATACAGGATGGTAGACAGCGAGGTAAAGATGAGGGCTGTCCAGTAAGGGCCCTGAGCCTCTTGGAAGTACCACCCCAATGCCATATCGAGGTTACTATCCCCAGACAGGCCACCGACCCAGAGACTGCGTGCTTCCCCTGGGCTGAGATGTAACAGTCACAGGATTCCAGCAGTTGTGAAATATTTTTCCTCTGGGGAAACCACATAATAACCCACTTAATTTGTCATGAGCCAGTCATGCCGCGACATGGCATTTCCCGGCTAGAGTGACCTAAAATGCAGACTAAAGATAGGGACTGTGAATGTGATGTTGGCCAACCAGCCTTTCTTGGCCAAAGGTCCTACTGGCATTATGGAAAGCATTTTGGCTAAGTAGAAGCAGGGGGACCTGGGACTCTGGAACGTTTCCACTGTGTCACGTCTCTCGGCTCCCCCGGGGTTTGTGTTCTGTACCTTGGTCTCTAACCTTTGGTTCAGCTATTTTCAGTCGAGAGCCAGCCTGGCCCCGGTGATCTCCTACCTAAGTGTCCCTCCTGAGCTGTACCTTCTGCCTGTGTGTTGTTAAGAGCAGCTCTCCGTGCAGCTCTGGAGAAGTCGGTGAGCATCCGGAAGGCCCAGGGCGCGCCTGGCCGCCGAGCGCCCACTGTGGCCAGTGTGTCACAGATGGCCGCGCCCCCTCCACAGAGTTAGCTGGAGCGCTGCTGAGTCAGAGTTTCGAAAACAATGACAGGCTCAACTGAGCAAGGACCCGGACTCAGAGCAGATGCTTCCAAGTTTTAACAAAACAGAAATCTCAGCAGCTTTTCATATAATTCAAACGGTAGTCACTCAACAATTTTTGGCACACCAAGCAGGTTGGTCACTCTCTTCCCCTCAGCTTGCTCTAGCAGATTGTGGCCCTGTCATTCACCGAAATGAGCTCACTCGTTCTCTGCTGAAGCAGAGAGCCCTTCTTGCTGGTGTGAGTTGAACGAAGGGGGAGTAGGGAGGTAGCGTTGAGTGGGTAGAGTTTCAGCTGGGGAGGATGAAAAGTGCTGGAGATGGATGGTGCTGACAGTTGTGCGACAAGGCCGATGTTTGGAACGTTGCAGCCCTGTACACTCAGAAGTGGCAAACGATGTTACGTATATTTTGCCACAATAAAAACATTGTTTAGTGAAAACTGCAGGCATGCAGGTGTTGGGGAGAAAATAGGTTCAGTATTGAACACGGAAGAACCTGTTCTTTTTTCTCACGAGACCTTTCCTTTCTGGTGCCCAGGAGGAGTCCAGAGTCTTAGAGAATTAAAAAGTAGAATTTGGGACCTGAAAACAAGAATTCTAAATAATCAAAATGCATTAAGCTTTCTTAATTAAATAGTAGAAACAAGGTTTCCTAAGAGTGAAAAAATGGGGAAGGAATTTGACTTCCCAAATGAACAAAAAGGCGTCCATATTCACTGAATGAGGGCCGGAAAGACACCACCACTGGCACTGATCTTTGGATCTATTTGCTTCAGCAGTTTACCTGGGAAAGGTCACTATCAAGTAAGCTCCAGGATATTTGAAAGAAAATAAGTCATATTTTAAAACTGAAAACTCAGACTGTAATATATCTGTCTAAGGGGTCTGTCACCACATGAAATTGTGTCAGATACTAGCCTCATTAAAGAGCGGTGTCAGGTTTAGGATTTAGTTTGTTTTCAACTCTTCAGCCCATTGTCAACACCTCAATCTTGTGTTTTAACTGGGAAGGAATGGATCGTTTGATGTCCAACCTATAAACTATTGTGGCGAGTGAGGCTTCTCCAGGGAAAGCAATGATCAAGCCAGGGGCACAAGGGACTAAATGACAGCTCCTTCTGGGCTCAAGAGGGAAGAGAACTGAGTCCAGTTATAACGTCTGCAGGAGGGCAGTAGGGAGTGGCATGTTGGGGCCTAGATTAAAACAAA